TTACACCAAGTGAGTGTCAAATGTTTTTAGACTATTTGATACAAAGAAAGATTTAGTGGTACTTTGAATATTCTAACTTGAAAACATAGGAAATAATAAATTATGATTTATCATCAATTTTGGAATGGTATAAATGAGTCACTTTTAGTATCTACTAATTGCCTTTGTGAAATTCTACATTCTCAAGACTCATTCATGGCAAACATGGTGCTGAGCCTGAAAAACCACAAGGCCTGTGATACCTATGTCAGATTTGTTTCCCTTTAGGAAACTGTCTGCCTTGTTTTGGGGTGGTAGAAGTTTTTTGATTATACAGACTCCATTAATTTTTTTCTTGTGAACATGAAAAGTTGTTGAATTATTGGTTAGACAGAGTCCCATCTTTACCTTCAACAGTTTATGAGCTCAAGGCTAAAACTAAAAAAAGAAAATAACTTCAAAAAAATCTTCAGAATTTAAGACTAATTTTTGGATAAATCTTGTTTCAAATTTCAATGAAATTTGATTATATATTTAACTTCAAGTATGAAGTTATGCCAAGTCCATGTTAAAGTAAATTACACAGTTGTAAAGAGTCATCAAGAAATGTTTTGGCATTTAAGTCCTGCTCCCTAGCAGTGTTAAACATGGGAACTGATTTTACTAAACTACCTTATTCTATAGCCTCTAAGCTCCCATCTTTTGTGCACTATGTTCTGATTTCAAAGATGTTAAAATGTAGGGGGAGGGGGGAAGTATATTCCAGTATCTATGTAATATGGTAATAATGGAGTTTTTATTTTTTAGAGCATACTTATGTGAATTGGTATTCTCTGCATTAGTGAAAACACAGGTACAGATTAAGTATGGAACTGAACCAGAGGCTACATCTTTCCACTATGAAACCCAACAATAATAATTTAGCCAAGCATATCATCTACTGCAGTACATTAATGTTGCTCATTTGAATGGTATGGGTATGTAGTTTTGTATTTAATTTATAAATTTGCTTTGGTTTTGGATTTTGTAACAGCTGTAAGAATAGGGAGTTTATGTGTATACATTTTATGTGTATACATTTTAATACATTTTTAAAGAGCAATGTAAGAGAAGAAATTTAAGCCGAACTGGAAGCCTAGAATTTCTTGCCTTAAAAGCCTAGAATTTCTTGCCTTGTCATACATAAATCACGTGTGAGTTCTTTAACAGCACATTGTTCTGTGGCGCCATAACTGTAAAATTATACTCTTGCTTTTCTGTACATATCTCATAATTTAAAGTCATTATAAAATTATTTTCACCAAAGGATTTGATACATCAACCTTCGTATTTTTTCTGTATGTGGTAACCATTTTTCCTCTTTTCTGAATATAAAGGGTTTAAAAGTGATCGTTTAGGAATGCAACTTGACTGTAGGCACTGTAAGTCCTAGAGACATCAGGGTCATGACCCTGGAACTCTGACCAACTTTCCAAGTACAGATTTATCTAACCAGGTATTCTTTAATGAACTGCTTGGTTGTAAAATTTCTAAAGAGACCAAGAACATGAAGAGCTTTTGATATATTTCTTCAAATCATAAAATTGAACATCAATTTACTGTTTCTTCATAGCTTTGAAGTCAGAAATGACTTACTGGAAAAACACAAATAGCTTATTGGAAGAACTATTTCAAAGCATATTTTATTTGTAATCGCGCTACTTAATAGGCATGTCGTTTTTGCCAAAAATATTTTGGGGGAAGGAAGAACATAGTATTTTTGTTATTTTTCAAAAGCTGTGAAAGAATTATAATCATAAACACAGTAAAAGATAGGTTTAGCAGTAATCCCTGTGAGCTGTATGTTCCTTACTCTATTTTTGTTTTGGCAACACCAGAAGTTTTTATAGTTTTACCCAATTTCCTTTTTCTACATCAGTAAATTGGGTTCCAATTTTCTTAAAATTATTGATCTTTAGCAGCTTTTTACTTCAAAATTTTGTGTGATAGTTTCAGAGAAGAGGTAGAACGACCACTGGAAAGAGAAAAATGAAGTGAAACTCCACTTACTTTAGAAATATACCCTATTCCTTATTCAGCGTGTCATTTTTAACACAATGCAGGCAAATCTATGTCCTTCAACATATGAAATACTTTAACTGCTTATATACCAGAGGCTTTGATCTTTGGCCCTGACTTCCTAACATGAAAGATTCTGACTCGAGCCAGCATTGTTTTCGCAGTAGTTTGACTATTTTATTTTTTTATATTTAAAGGGCATGTTTATTAGGGAAAGGGAAAGGGACAGGTTTGCTAAGAGAGGCCTGCACGGTTGCAGGCAGGCGGCCTTGAGAAGAACAGCCTCTGCTGAGGGAGGTCAGAGAAGAAAAGCCCCGGCATGCTACAGGTCATGGGCAGGCAGGAAGGCTGCTGCCCTGCGGAGGAAGAGAGCTGGTGAAAAGAAGCACCTGCATAGTCACAGGTGGGCAGACAGAGTGCTGCCTAGTTTGACTATTGGACACTAACATCTCAGCGTTTATTGCAAGTCAGTCGGGCATGTTGGCGTCATAACAGGATTAGGGGTAGTGTCCGGGAAAGTACGAAGATATGTGCAAAAACAAGTCTTCAGGTCAACGCCACATGAATAGTGTTATTCCTCGACCTACCCCTCTCGGGTTAAAGGTGGGTTTGGGCAAGTCCTTCAGCCTCTGCCAGTCGGAGGGCTGGCACGAAGTGGCCTGGAAGGAAGACACCTGTGTCTGCGCGACCGCCGCAGAGCTCCTCTGGCCCACCCCTCTGGCCCCTGAGAATGGACACAGCCCTTAGACACTTGTGAGGAGGCCGCCAGAGCCAGGGACAGCGTAGAGTGCGGACAGTGCAGCACTGAGTGATCGAGGGGTTGGGAAGACTCTCCGGGCGGGCTGGACACTGGGCTACTTCCAAGAAAGCGTCCTGCGCTGGCGCACGTCCACTACGTCAGGGGGAACCCCGTGCTCGATTCAGGGCCCCGATGACCCAGCAGGGCAACCAATTCTCGAGCTCTCAGATTTCCGCCAGACGCCAGCTCCAAGGTAGGCTTCCCTGGCAGCCTCAGTTGCTCTCCCGGGTAGGGTCAGCCCCAGCCCGGCCCACTGTGCACCGTCTTCACCGCCCGCGAGCCGCCCCACCGAAGCTCCAGTGCACCCAGCACGCAGGGGCGCCCGCAGGCCTCGCCGCTCCCGGCATCCTCCGCGGGCTGAGCGCGCCGGCCCAAGAACTCAAGGACCCCGTCCCGCGTCCCGCGGCAGGGTCCCTTACCCAAGATGCCCCGGGCCCTCATTTGCATGCGCCAACCGACGGGTAAATCCCGGGGGTCTTCGCGGTCCGGCCAGCACAGCACCAAACGTGAGAGCCTCGTGAGGTGGTTGCGTGGTGTCAACTTTTCTTGAGCAGTCCAAGGGCGCCGGAAGGGCGCGCAATTCGGTCACCCTAAGTAAGAGAGAAGAGAGGCCTCCGTGCCTTATATATCCTGTGGGCGGAGGTAGTAACGTGCTCGCTTCGGCAGCACATATACTAAAATTGGAACGATACAGAGAAGATTAGCATGGCCCCTGCGCAAGGATGACACGCAAATTCGTGAAGCGTTCCATATTTTGTCCCATTCCCCCAAGTATCTGGAGTGGTTTTACTGTTTCCCTTTAGTACGGTATCTAAGGCTTCCACGGGCGAACGTACGTGACTCCCTGGCATCACACGAGCGCCCAGCTGCCTTAAAACCTATGGGTACATTATCTAGGCGATCCTTCTATCGGAATCTGAATGTTTCTTGTCATTGGTTAGTATCTGGTTTTGGTGCAGGCAAGCAGTTTTTCCTAAGTCAAATTTCCCATCACAGAATTCGTCCGATTCAGTAATCCGAGTTCTGACTGTTCCTTAAAGGTCAAATGAAAACTGGTATTGCAGAACCGGTCTCAGGCGGATTTGGAGGCATATCTGAATGGACTTCCTACTTCCAGCCAATATTCAATATTGGCTGATACTGATCTCTTCGGATATAACCATGCCTGGGTAAACAGGCCCTGCCTTTGTGCAGTTAGTAGTGTAAGAGTGTGACCACCTAGGTCTAAAAATACCCGGAGGATATCACAAAGTAGGCTCAATAAATGATCCCTAATGTTCCTGCCTTCCCTTCGTAAGGATCCATTGCTTTAGCGATCATTAGTAATTTGCAAGTCATTTGGTAAGGAACAAGCAGCTGATGTGCCAGGCACCTTGTGTTCTTATGAACCAACTCACCTAGACCTCTGGAGAGTTTGTATTTTTGAGGGAGACAATACCATAAGTCAGTCGATTTCAGAATTTTTAAGTTCTATGACGGAAAAGCAAGCTGACCTTTTCTCATTTCTTAGTATTTAGGAAACGATTTATTTGGACTTAAACTTCCAGGTGTAACTCACCTTCGTTATCAATTCACACATGAATTAAAAAAACATTTTTTCCCTTTCTCGAGATAACATTGGGTTACAAACCTGCACGTAATTCAGGTAAATAGGTTCACCAAATATTTTTCTAGTGAGACTAATATTATTTCATACTGGGGTTGTGTGCTTTGACTCACGTTTTTCCTAATCTTTCAGCAAGGGGCAAAATATGGAACGCTTCACGAATTTGCGTGTCATCCTTGCGCAGGGGCCATGCTAATCTTCTCTGTATCGTTCCAATTTTAGTATATGTGCTGCCGAAGCGAGCACGTTACTACCTCCGCCCACAGGATATATAAGGCACGGAGGCCTCTCTTCTCTCTTACTTAGGGTGACCGAATTGCGCGCCCTTCCGGCGCCCTTGGACTGCTCAAGAAAAGTTGACACCACGCAACCACCTCACGAGGCTCTCACGTTTGGTGCTGTGCTGGCCGGACCGCGAAGACCCCCGGGATTTACCCGTCGGTTGGCGCATGCAAATGAGGGCCCGGGGCACCTTGGGTAAGGGACCCTGCCGCGGGACGCAGACCAGGGCCCTTGAGTTCTCAGGGCGAGGCGCTCAGCCCGCGGAGGATGCCGGGAGCGGCGACCCTGCGGACGCCTCTGCGCGCGCTACGCCTTGAAGGGCCGACGGGGCGACTCGCTGAGGTTGTGGGAAGGACTCGGTACGCAGAGGGCAAGACCGGGCCACACTTTTAGACTGTGTGGTTTCCCACTTAAACTTTCTCCGATTAGTACTTAAAAAAAAAAAGTAATTTCCAGTCCCGATAACACTTCGAAAAGTGAAGGTAACTCCTTAATATCACCTAATCTATTCGCTTTTCGTTAGAAGTTCCTACATAGGCTGAGAGAGGATTTTATTGTTGAATTGTAACCCACAAAGTCCCCGTCTCACGCTGTATTTGGCCACAATGACCCTTAGGTCTTTGTTGTCCAGTGGCCTCCGCTCCATTTTTCTTCATGTAGTTGGTTTATTGGGGGAATGGCAAAATTCCCGCATTTGACTCCTTTCCTAATGTTAATGTCTTTTAACTTCTTTCTCTGTCCTCCAGGTTTCTTGAAAATGTATAGTTAGCTATGGAGGCCTCATTAGATCCTGGTCAATTGTTTGGGCTTGTGAGGTGCATTGTAGGGCGCGCGCTGACTATTGCCCCCCTCAGCTGGAGGCGTGTGATGTTCTGGCCGAGCCAGTTGGGTTCAGGTGAGGTTGGCAGCCTGACTTCTGCATTATAATTTCCTATAAATCTTACAACAGTAAGATACACTTAATGATTTTAGAATACACTGATGAAAGTTGCCCAGGTAGTTAGCTTTTTGTTGGTTGATTTTTAACCCCCATCACCTGAGTTGTAAGGATGTCAACCCAAGACCCCTGGTGTCCAAGTACTGTGCCCCAAGAAAGAAAAGTTAATAAAACCAGGAAAAGAAATGAAGTGTGTCCATGTCGTTTGAGAATATGGATCGTTCTGTACATTCCATGGTTTGATTACACGAGCTAACAAGTTACTGTTCTCTGTCAGCTAAATCGAAGTCGTGTTTTTGTCTTCTTCGCTGCTCTGAGGATCTTCCCAAGCCACTTAATGTTGACCCTGGATGCAGGGTCTCCAGTCCACTCCTCCCTCACGGTCGGCTATGCTTTAGCTACATGTTCTTGTGTAGAATCAATTGATAAGCAAAATTAGCTCCACGTTCCCCCATCTCTGATTGCAGGCTGATATTCCTTTGCTGGATTTTTTCTGAAAGTAGTTTTCTGTCAGGCTGGACATTTATTGAAACCCTCATCCCAAAGGACAGTGTGCGCTAGGCCTTCAGATTTAACACCTTGGGTTTCCTTACTCTGTTTTGTTTCTGTTACACATGCTAATTTGTCCAAATTGTGTTTCTTTGCAGTCTTTCCCTCCTGTTTCTTCTCTCCCCATCCTGCACCTCCCTCCACCTACACTGAATAACTCACTAAACACACATACTCAGTTAACCTTATGTCTTTGTAATCACACTCATGTCTTCACACTACACATTTGCAACTTTAAAACACTATTGGCTTCTGCTAACTTAGAAAATACTCAAGATCCTGTATTTGCATTTTGACAAAAACAATGCTTGCTCTTATCACTGGTTAGTATGTGTAAATCTCCACAATCACTTTCTTGGAGGGGAGTGATAGCATTCTTTATCACATCTTTTAGAAGTCATAGGAAAGTTAGATAGGTGACTTTTTAGTTAGATAATCTTTTGTGTTTGAATTGATATTTGCTTTTATCAGAAGAAGATAGAATCTCAAAAGACATTGTTGACTGAAGAGATTGATTTAAAGGATTTGTCTCAACTCTGGTTACTTAACAAGAAAAAAATTATTTTTATATTCTGGAACACTTGTGTTCTATTAACAGTAAATGACAAAACTCCAACATTCCAGTGATTTCAATTAGCATTGGAAAAAATTGTTACCTATCTTAGTAATATATAAAACTATGCATCTTACATCAATGGCACTTTAGATCTAAAGAGATACAGTATCTCATTTTTCAGAGAAAGAAACTGTGTAGCGACTTCCCTGGACCTTACTGGCACTGGCCCCACCAACTTCTGAGGCCAAATCCATTGCTCTTCCAATGTACCATTTGTGGTGTTACTAGTAAGTTCATACTCTTTGCAGTAAGTTAAAAAGATAAGAATAAAGACTTTAAGACTGACATTTTACAATTTTTTTTTTAAGTTCCGCTCATTAGACTGCAACAGTAAGATAGTAAACACTGGAAAGTCTACCTTTTTCTTTTCTTCACAGCAAGGGAACATTTAGTGATATAGCATAATTGAAACAGGCAAAAACCACAAGTCATTTCCTGTTCAGGAATTTTGCTGTAATTGAAAAGAAGAAACGCAACCAAAAATTCTCACATCCTCTTGTGCAAGGAAAAGATGAGTCACTAGAACTACAGCATCAATGACCATCTTTACCTGGTCTGAAACTGGTGATCTATTGGGTAACAGATTATCAACCTGGGCTGCAGTTTGTAATCACTGAGAGCTTTTCGAAATAACAGTAGGCGAGCCCTCCTCTGTAGCCTTCAGACATCTACTTGATGCTTGTAAGCACCCTCCCTTCTTTTCTCTGCTCTTTCTTTTCAGTCACATTATGCATCTGGGGAAGCTTGTCTTGAGTTCCCTTCCAGGCCATCTCCTTTTATGGTCATATCCCCTTCCCTCCTGTCCCACTGAGTGACCATACTGATGGAACACATTCCTCCTAAGTGTTCCTTCTAGCTAGAAAGAACTCCAAGGATTGAAACTCACCACTCCTGAGTTTTATTTCTTCAGGGCTCTGCTAGTTAACCCCATAAACTAGAATATGCTAGAGCACTGTTTCCCAAATTTGCCTAGTCTCAGATCCATCTCTTACAGTGTCTAGAGGATTGGCTGGTGCTAAGACATTCAAAGGATGATTTGGCATATTTCCTGGATGACTTATCTGTGTTTTAATGAAATGAGAAAGTCACTGTGATAAGGCTGTTGTGAGATATTTTTTGTGCTTGGAGCCCTTTCACAGCAACCAGTTAGTTCTTTTAATTTGTGCCAGATAACCACATTTTTTACTTGACTTAAAAAACAAAATGCATGAGAGAGACTATCAAAGATAGGCTTGTTATTTTCTTGTCCTTACTGCAAAATTAGCCTTATTCACACACATCTCTATTTCTCTCTTCTGGTTTCAGGGAAGAGATGTCCCTTATAAGGGAAAAAGTTGGGTCTGGGTAAAGAATTACTTTGCCTAGACTCTAGAGAATACCCCCCTTATATCCCTATCTGATTCCAATTTTATGGAAACTATCTTATGACTCTGTCAATTGAAGTTGATAGAAATGCAAAATAATTACTGTTTATAGGTTTGCACAATCTGTCCTGACCAGTAGAGGTTCAGTGGACTGTTCTTTACCACTGTAGAAGAAGCTAGTTTTGCTTCCATTTGCACATTCATTTCATATGTGCAAATACGCTTTTCTTACGCATTTGTGATTTTTGCTTTCACCTTTGAGCTGATAAATCTCTCTTATTCCTTATTGATCAATGTTTAATAACATTTTAAACACACACTTTATATCTATATGAGAGGCATGACTTTTATTTATTTATTTTTAAAATTCTTTCAACAGTTTTGAGATCTTCTACTGCAATGACCAATGGATTCACCTAAGAAAATCAGGTATTTTCACCAGAGCAGTAAAGTTCATGTGCTGCTGAAAGCCCAGATATATCTCTTTTTGACTCTCAAAATGACAATAGAACTTTGCTTACTCTGTTTGTATAAGTTTAATACTTTCTCTTAATTTTGTGACTTGTCTTTCTTTGTTTATACCACTAAACATATTACCTACTGTCAGAAGCAATAATTGGGAGTTTGGTGGTATGGTCTGAGCATTTGGTGAGCTCTGTGAATAGATTATCGAATTATAGAGTTCTAGACTCTGTTGGGTGAGGGACAAGAGAGAAACCAGTTAGTCCTGATTGCTTATGCATCTACATCAATGAAGAATGTTGTGTGCTACCAAGAAAGAAAATAGCATTTTATATCTGAACCTGCACATTTTTGTGTTTCTGTGTTTACTCTTGACCCATGAGTGAAGTTTTAGAATTGAAGAAATCAACTATGTTTGTATGTCTGTTTATCTATAACTCAGGAAGGTCTTTCCCTCTAATTATATGAATGTGTAATGTTTTCCTAAATCCATGTGGTATTAATAAATTGGAGTATAAACTCTCCTAAATTAAAGTAGCCCTATTCTGATTAGGTTATGAGAGAAATAGTGCTTATATAAATAAAATATTCCTGTAATTCATAGATAGTAAGGAAATAGAACTAAGATTTAAAATGTGCTAGATTTAAAAAGTATTTTTAAATAAACCAGCTTAGAAACATTTTAAGAATTCAAGTTCATATAATTTAAGTGAACTAACCTAGTTTAATAATTTGGTTTAAACTGGGTCTCCCCGGTGGCACAGCAGTTGAGTGCTGGGTTGTGAAGCTGCCCGCAGCCTCTGCAGCGCCGGTTTGCTCCCCAGCCCCCAGGTGAGGGTCCCACATGGCAAGCAGACCTCTCCTGCCACCCACTGCTCCCCTCAGCAGTGTACTTCATCAGTCGGCCTGCTCTGCTCTCCGCCCTGACTCTGGTGAATTCTTTCACCCTCCTGTGCTTCTGTGCGTGTATAAAAAAATAAATACCAGTGCTTGTATAAATAAATAAATAAATCTTTAAAAAAATTGGTTTAATAAAAACAGTGATATCTCTGATTTATTGATGTTACATATTACAAATGTGCAATTTAAAAAGATTTATTTTATTTATGCATATAAGAGCTGGGGTATAAGCCAGAGATGTTGGGTGGGGGTGTGTGAGAAGATTAACTAGAGACAGAGTGGGGAGCAGAACAGGCGGATTGAATGAAATACATTGGTGAGGGGAGCAGCAGGTGAGATAGGAGAGGTCTGCTGCTCTGTATGTGGGTTAGCTTCCTGGCTGGGGATCAAACTCCAGCTGTATTAGCTGCAGATAGCTTCATAGTGCTGACACTTAACCCCTTGCATCACCAGGGAGCCCCCAAATGTGCATTTTTGCTATACTTTTCAATACGTATATAGGTTTACTGAACAGATAAACTGGCATTACCTCTAGTTACTGCTTGCTTATTATGATAAATGTAAATTTGTGTTTCACCAAATCGAATCCTTATTCTGATGAACTTTATTTCTTGTAATTTGTTTTGTAATATGTCTGCATAAAGACACATTTCTAAGATTTTAGTAACTTAAAATCTTGCATTGGTATTAAATTGAATTAATTAATGGAAAATCTTTGGTTACCTAGTTTATTTCTAAGTAAGGTTGGTAAATTATTGTTAAATATAATTTTAACTTTATAAACCTTTGCTCTTATTTCTATATACTCTAGAAATGCTGTATCTTGGAGTCATGTAGGTGAACATGTTCATTTTTGCCACTTTAAGAAGTTTCATATAAAATATTAGTGATTGTAGAACATTATAGTATCTTTATTCATAAACTCTGTTAGTCTGATGAAGTGTTGGGGTGTGACAGTTTACAATATTACAACCCTTGTCCCCCAGTTTTCTCTGCAAATTAGAAGTTACTTTGGTTAAAAGTAATTATTGCAAATGGTTGAGACTATACTGAGAAGCAACAGTTTCAGAGAAATAGAACTGTATGTGTTTCTATTCTTTTAATTATATATATTTTTTTTCACAGAAAAACTAGTTTGTCTTAAAGCAGCAGGATAAGTTTTCATATTGCCTTATTTTTGTTTTAATCTCTAGTATCTGCAGTGAGATCTATTTCATTTCTGATGTTGATTTGTGCTCTCTCATATTTCCTTTATCTGCCTGACTAGAATTTTATCAATTGTATTGTATTTTGCAAAAATCCACTTTTTTTGGTATTGCTTGTTTACTACTATGTTATTGATTTCTACTTTTTGTTATTTCCTTCTGTTTACTTTTGGTTTCTCTTTTTTCTCTTGCTCCTTATAGCAAAAATTTATATTATTAATTTTAGACCTTTCTTCTTTTCTAATAGAAACCTTTGAAGTTATAAATTTGTCTGTAAGTACTGCTTTATTCCTAGTCTACAGATTTTATTTTATTTTATTTTTTTAAGATTCATTTATGCATCAAGAACTGGGGTATAGGCCAGCGATGGGGGAGGGTTGAGAGGATTCACCAGAGACAGAGTGGGGAGCAGAACATACAAATTGACTGAAATACACTGCTGAGGGGAGAAGCAGGTGAGACAGGAGAGGTCTGTTGCACTAGGTTGGTAGCTTCCTGACCGGGGATCGATCTTGTGCTGCAGTGGCTGCGGATAGCTTCATAGGTTGTGTCTTAACCCCTTGTGCCACCAGGGAGGCCCCCACTAGTCTACAGATTTTAATGTGCTGTGTTTGCATTTTCATGTAGTTCAAGATACTTAATTTTCTGTTTACCTTTTTTCCCCTTTGTCTCATGAACTTATTTTACTTTCCAGATATTTGGGGAATTTTCAAGGTATCTATATATTTTTTTAGTTTAATTCCTTTGTGGTACAATTTTGATTACATTTATTGAGACTTGTTTTATAGCTCAAGTTACAGTAAGTCTAGTGAATACTTAATGTGCACAGTAACAGATTGTGTGGTTGTTGCCGTTAATATTGTATATTCTTACTGATTTTTTTGTACTTCTCCCATCATTATTAAGAGGGACTGTTGAAATCTAGCTATTATTATTAATTTCTCTGTTTGAACTTTTAGTTCCAGCAGTATTTGCTTCATGTATATTGAAGTTCTGTTTTTAGATACAAATACATTTAGAAATGCTATACCATCTTGAGGAATTGATTCTGTTACCATTATGAAATAGTCCTCAATTATCACAACTACTTAAAATAATCACATGGATATTTGATAATTTATGAAAATATTTAAAATGGAAATACTTGTGTCTGCCAAGGCCACATTCCTTTTATCTTGCTTTAGTTTTCCACCATGGCATCTATCTCCAACAAAGTTTGTTCTCTCTCTTCCCCCACTAGAATAAAACTTACAAAGAGTAAGATTTATTTTGTTCACAGCTGTATCCCAACTACTTGTCCAAAATATGACATCAGTAAATACATTCTGAATTGGATTAATGTATAATAAAATTACAATAGCCATAAGAACATAATATTTCCATGACTTATCCTATTTACTCCATGGTAATGTAACTGGATCCTTATAGTGCCCAGAGGTTACAGGGCAAGGTGGCTTTGTTGGCACTGAGGCCTTCTGGCCTCAGCCCACCAGCCATGGACGTTCTCTCTCCATCTGCCCCAGTGAGGCCAGCTCCAGCTATGGCTCCCTGGAGCCAACAGGCCCCATGAGCATGCACTGACCTGTATATAGGCTGGGCTGAGTTTTGCCCCCTTTTGTGTCTGGCTGTAGGATTCTAAATGGACCAATCTGGTTTGAGCTAAATGAGCCAATCAGGTGTGACTAGACTAACACACTTCTTTAGTTTATTTAGATTGAAAATGGAAAATGAGTTGATTGATGGCAGATGGTCCAATCAGATGCCTGGGATTGAAAATGCTCTAATCAGGCTTATAATGTAGGAGGCCCCAAAGGGGTTATAAGGCAGAGAAAGAACCAGCTTAGTTCATTCTGCTCCCATCTCTGAAGAAAGAAAGATCCTGTTTCTGAACTCTGAAGAAAGAAGCATTCTGCTCCTGGCTTCCAAAGAAAGAAAGATTTATTGGATCGCCTTTGAAGGATTCTGCTTCCAGCCTCTGAAGAGAGAGAAGCACTGACTTCTGTGTGATTCTAGCAGTCTCCATAGGACTTCTAGTTGACTTCCAGATCTCCAGACCTCTGTATACCTTCGCAGAGACTTGGCCATCACATCTGCCTCTGGCCTTGCCTTTGGCCCTGCCTCTGACCTGGCCTGCAAAGAGCATAGTAGGGCTATACTTCTCAAAGAGCTTCTGGTTCTCCTGCACTGTTTTCTGGTGTTGTAGAGTCCATTGCTGTCTGGTCTGTCCAGCCCAGCCTTCAGACTGCTGCTGTGGGCTGCTGCAGTGTCACCTCATCCTCCATGTACAGCCTTTGTTTGGTACTTAGGGATTCTGTGGATGCTCTCTGGGGTGAGACAGCTGGCCACTTGTGGCCTTAAAAACTCCTTTCCCCCAATCCCCTGTTTGTTAAATAAACCCTGTTGTTTGACCCTGCGCCTAAGTGGTCTTTCAGTTGTGCACGTGGATGAGAACCCACTGACATTGACTTGTCTCCACACCTTGGTACTGTCCCTAAGGACTATTGTAACATTGTTTTAAGTACTCTTTTGCACTGTTTTGGTACTCTTTCAGTAAGATGACCTCAACTCACACTGGTGCCATTTCAGGTATAACTTTTACACCCCAATGTGCTATTATGCTGCCCTTCAGCACAGCTAGTACCACAAAACTGTTGCCTTGGCTTTTCAGAGTCTGAGGCAGGTGTTAATGAGATAATCCTTTGTTTTAACATGCTCTTTGTGTCATGGCCACTTCTAATTTATCTAGGAGTTAGTCATGAATCATTCCAGAATGATGAGTTTGAGCCATATACACCCAGACCTAGTACCTCACCTTGGATACCTGTTATAAACACCTTCCTCCTTCAGGAGGCTGTTTAGACC